GCGTGATCAAAATGATAAATGTTTTTTAAATAAAAATAAATTTAAAAAATAGATGGAGATAAAAAAAAATAAATAAAATTTCTCTGAAATCGCGATAATACCAGATCAGATGGGTGATAAAGCTATAGTTAATATGTAAAAAATCGGGAAACAACTCGCGATTTATCGTAATGATCACTAAAAATATCATTAAAAATCGGCGATTAATCGCGTTTCAGCTCACGATTATCGTTTCGATATATCACGATTAATCGCCAATTTTTCAGCGATTTTCAGGACATGGGGCAGAAATACAAAAATTTAGACTGTTTTCTCTTTCCGGAAATACTCATGTATATGTGTTCTAATTGCTTGAATTTTGATTTGCTACTATTCATTTTGTTTTTCTAAAGATATGCCAAAAACAATTCTGCAAAAACCCAGGACCACCATTACGACAAACGTAAACGATATTATACGGCATCGTTTGCCATCGTATTAGCACAAGTTTCTCATTAGTGAAGAAGGAGCCATTTCCTGTTATCCCTCCCCCAATTCTTTCCACCTTCTGCTCCTTCCTTTCTCCCTCAACTCCTCTGTTCTTTCTCTCCCTCTTTCTGTCCCTTCTGTCCTCCCACTCCTCCACCCCTCATCCTGAATATACAAAAGGAGTTACAGTTGACTGTGTCAATGTGATGAATCTAAATAAAAACTGAAAATTATTTCAATAAATAAATGAATAGATACTTACTGTTTGATTTGTCGTTCAAAATAATCTAAAAAATACAGATAAAAATTGTTCATTTAATTAATACTTATTATTGGATTCATGGTTGAATTCGATAGACAAAGGCTGTATGATGGACAAATATAACTCAACTTACGACTAACTTACGATCATATGCGGTCATATACTACAGGCGTGTATGATGGTCGTTTACGTTGAACGTATAGTATTGTACACGTTCATCGTAAACAATCGTCGTATATGGCGACCGTTTCCAGACGTATTTCGTCGTATACGACCGTTTTCGATCGTGCCTCGTTGACTTGGAAAGATGGTTTCAGTATTGGACAATTTAAAGATTGAAATCACTCAACAACTCGAAATTTTTGAAAAAGTAATGCTATGTAATGCTTTTCTAGAAACATTAAACAGACTGAATTTTTGTATTGTCGCTAAAGGCCTTAACTTTCAAAAATGCTTTTGAAGTTTGTCTTTAGAAATAAAAACTCGGTGCATTTATCGGTACCCAAAAGGAAAATTCGTCAATGAAGTCCAGTCAATAGTGAAATGGAATGACACAACTTTTAGGAAGGGATTTTTAGGACACACTATAGTGGCGTTTATCTGTCTTTCAACTACAAAGAAAGAAAATTAATCCTTTCTCCCTTTTTGTCTGCATATATTTCCGTCTTTTCTCTCTGAATTATAATTTCAATTTTTGTCTTGAAAATGATACGTAAAATAACGAAATGTCAACATTAATTATGTTAAATAAGTAAACAAACACAGCTGCTGTAAATAACTTATTATCTCTATTATGGAAATGTTGCCTAATATCAAACGTAACTATATAAAAAGTTTAAGACAGGAATATGAGTTCTGCATAACTAACAATATTTTTTACTATGGAAAAATAATTTTCAAAATATCAAAATTATCCCTTTTGCGGCGATGTGAGTTACCGATGGGTCACACTATAGAGTAGACCAAAAGCTCATTTATCGCTGAAAAAATTGAATATCTCTGCCATATGTTGATCAAATGGAGTGATTGTTTCACCTCTGATAGAGTAATGTTGATAGCTCATATTGATAAGAGAAGGGGGAGCGAAGATTATTCGCCGAAAATTGATCGCTACGAAAATTGGTCGATAAATTTATAATACACGAGGTAAATTTTTATGCAAGAGACTTTTATTGAGACAAATAAGATAGATATGTATAAAAACAACGCCAGCTCATAAATTATGAGCAAGCCCTTCTAATTGTAGTAATAATGTTGAATGTGGATTCGAAATTAAATGCCACAGACGTTTACTATAATCAAAATATTTTTTATTTGGTCCCATTTTTTGACCAGAATTAAGTTTAACCACTCGGCAATGAATAAAGTGTTCCTCAGTCTTAAGACTTTCAATGAAAAACCAAAGAGTAGGGTGTTGACATTGAGTGAGTAAATTAAAACGACGATTCCAAGCTTCGGCTGAATTATTCGTACGCATTGAAATATCGGTTGTTCGTTGATACATGTTCCAGAATTCAATCGAAAACATAGGATTAGACCGCCCTTGCGCCCGGCGTCTGCCAATATAAGTATCTTCGAAGTAGTCGAGTAGTGGGTGAAGTATTGTTGGTAATGAAGCAAACAAATCATAAAAGCCTTGGCTAACATCAGTTGGTTGAATGAACGCCAGAGCACCTATTTTATTGATATTATGTGCAAATGCGACGTCTTGTTCATAATTTGTTTTAAAACCCAATTCCTACAGAGAGGAAATGAAGTGTACATATTTGATTTATGTAACAGAATCAATTACTCACTTGAACCTTACGTTGAATACTTTGTTGTAAATGAAAAAAGCAACCAGATGTTGTAGAATGATTTGCACCAGTTGAAAAACTATCTCTGAATGCGTTGGCTGCAGCTTTGTCGAAATCCATCATTATGAATTTGGGCTTCCATGCTGGACAAAGTCCCAATAATTCATTTATAAGTCGTTGATATGTTTGCTGAGTCTTATTTGGCAAAAATGCAAATATAATTGGTATAACAGCATGTCGATAGACCACATACATAACATACAATTGATAGAAAATAGTTGGTGTGACCTAAACGTTTTAATTCACTTAAAATGATCATAAATAGAAAGCGAGCAGAAATACAGACCTTAAATGTTCCATCGACCAATAATTCTTCACAGCTGCCTAGTAATTGTAATTGCTCAGCAGATGAAAATATTAATAAGCGATCATAACCAGGACCAGAATCATATCGAAGAAATTGACTATTGCGTTTCGTTATTGCTAATTTATTGGGAATTCGGTCAAATATTTTATCATGTGGAATCTCCGGTAAATCATTTTTTGCACGCTGATATTGAATGTTTCGTTTGATATGTTTGAATTCCGGAGGACGAGCTACAACTTCATCCGGTAAATTCGTCAAGCAATTATCAATAACAGATTGTGTGGTTTCATTACAATTAGCAGCACGAACACGAATTTTCCCTTCAGATACTCGAATTTCACTGGAAACAGCATTTCCAGGATGCTTGTGATTATCAGTTTCATATAAAATTGCTGTCTTAATACAATTGATGTGAATGCGACCTTTACATTTACCAGTTCTACTATATTCACATTTCCAAAACGTTTTATCATTATTTGTTTTATCGATAGTGTAAACGAAGCCTTTACATAGTAACAAAGGTTTATTTCGTTGTGTTGTACTAAGTGTAAATGTGGACATTTTTGGAAGAAAAGTACAGATGTCTCTGTCACGAGAGCTCCATATATACCCCTGAAAGAGCTTATTCATTTAGTCATTTTAATATTAAAGAGAAATTATAGCTTCTATTAATTTAGATACTGCAGAAATAGACGTGCTTCTTTGAAGCTGTACGCAGATCACTTCAAAGTAACTTCTGTCTACTAATTTGTCTTAATAAGTCTTATGTTTAAAAAAATTCGATCCTTTATTAGAAATTTATCGACCAATTTTAGTAGCGACCACTTTTTGGCGACCAATTTTTGTTCGACCATTTTTCGTAGACCCATAAGAGAAATGTCGATAAAAGTTGTGCTGAAGTACTACATTTGTACGAATAAAGAAATGAAACCTTTCACGAATTATGAGAAAGCAATATTCACGTCGCTGCAAATTGGTTAAAAGTACGATATGTTTTCCTGAAAGCTTGCAAGAGAGAAATTTTATTATTAAAACTTGTCAATTTTAAAAAATGGGCTTGAGACACGAACAGCATCCAAGAGTGATGCAAAATTTTTATCTAGAGATTTTAATCAATGAAATAAAGGTGAAGAAACAACAATTATCTCAGTCATATTGAATGTACATAGGGCAGTCAAAAAGTTCTCATAACAACAGTCTAAAATTTCACTCTCATTAGTTTTATTCCTCATGTTGGGCTACCCATGTAAAACTGAAACGCAGACCAGATGCGTTTACATGCGTTTTAAACGCATGTAGATGCGGCTATGTTAAGAAACATGAACGAAACGCGTTCAGTCGTGTCTTAGAGATGCATCTGGATGCGTTCAGATTGATAAACGCATGTAGA